ACCCCCTGGGATAATCAAGCAAGCATTGCCGGGGGCCTTTCCATTCAACCATTCAATGTTTCCTCCTCTTTTTTGTAATTACATAGATATATTATTTTTATTGCCATTCAGCCATTGAACTAAGAATCTCAAGAGGATCATGCAGACACCTTGGAGGAAGGACAAGCAGGAGAAACCACCAAATTCCTTAATTTCACATTAACCCTTAAAGAACCGACTTCTTTCTTTTAGAGGACACATACCAGAGCTAAAAAACACCCCCTCAGACCCTCCAGCACATTGAAAGCGGAGCCCATTTTCAATTAAACACAGTGGCTGTGTTTGGGATCTTTTAAAAAGCCATTAGATGATTAATAAAGGACCCAGGAGCATCTCAAGAAAGCTGTGGAGGAGAGGATCGTGGTTGGTGTTCTGGCTAGACTAAGTCTGGACTGTCTGTGCAAAGAAACATTGCCCAACTGGTCAAATTCAAGACCATTAAACCAAAATGTTGAAGCAGTACTCTAAGGGTTAATTCTTTTTTTTTTTTTTACTCCGCATGCAGGTTAAGTTGCTTTGTGTGTGTGTCAAGCAGCCAGTGCAAACCCCCAACCCCTGCCATTCTACTTCGTTCAAGAGTAGGCAGTTCAAAAGGGTACTACGATACAAACTGGTACAAGGCTTCCATGCGCTTTCCCGTGTCAAGCTGATCAGAGAATCAGTGTACTAAAAGTCCCAAGGCTTGGGCTGGGTGGGAAGCAGGAAAGCCTCTAAGCATCTCAAAGCCATGAATGAAAGTTTATAGTATGTCATCAGTGAGCAAATGGTAACACCCAGGCCAGGAACATAAGGAAGGTGAGGTGCAGGAAGGGCAGACAGTCTGGGGAGAAGCAAACTACGTTCCCCAGACGGGAAGCCAGGTGGGTTTCCTCCCCCCTGGAGTGGGCTAGCTTGAGAAGTGCAAGATGAAGGATTTCCGAGTATCTCCACTTTGGAAATCTCTGTATGCAATACCAGTTAGTATAGTCGTACTTCTGTAAGGACAATGTTCGGCCGTTCAGCAGGCAGCAGGAATCTGTGCAGTACGGGAATGCAGGACCCACTCATAGGCTCTCCGGTCATGTTGCATGCACTGGATTTATCACAAGTCAAACATGCCCTTTGTCATCTCCCCAATCACAAAAATGTGGAAAAACCTCCAGACGAGCATTAAGAGTAACCTACTTTTGCATTTACAAATTAAGTGGACTGAACAAAAAACAACACTGAGAGACAGTTTATTATAAAGGAAATGACGACTGTCAGGTTTCTGCTAAGGCAAGTGGGAGGAAAGGCAGCATGGAACTTGGTTGGTGCAATGCTGAGGGGGCTAAGTAAGCCTCCCAACCTGCCACTGCCCTTTGCCTGCTGTCCTGCACAGGCACTAAGTTAGGAAAAACAAGGACAATCCAGGCCTGCAGTCAAGTGACACTTCTGCCATTTCCAGGCCATGGTGGTGCTTTGTTTGGTTTCAAGAACAAGCCCCAGAAGATCCAAAGGTATCAGAGTTGGTAGCCACTGTAGCTGTAATGAAAAGAAGTCCATGAACTAGCTTGACCAGAATGCCACTACAGCTTCCAGGGTTGGAGAGACATTGCATCTCTGTGCTATGGAAGCTACGGGCGGGATGTGTTACTGCACAATAGATGTGTGTGCGTGTGTATGTGTGTGTGAGCAAGCGAGAATGAGGAAATCTGGAGGTATGTATTCCACTCATGTGTTCACTTGTGCCAGCAGGGACTTAGCTGTGCATTATAAATTCATATTCATCAAGATTGATGTACACATACTCAAGGGGGGAGAAACAGAGGCTTGGTTCCCGAGTCTGTCACGGAAAACCCACTATCACTTCACCAAGGCCAAGGAATAACCTTGCTGTTGCCCTCACAATAATTGTTGGTGGAGTTATTGGTGGCATATTTGGGACTCTCATGAGTTCCCTAGCTTCTATTCATTCCATGGCCTCAGTGGTTAATTTGGTGGTAACCTTGAAATACATCTAGTTGGAAAAGTATTTGCTTGGCGGTGGTAGAGAATGAAGTAGTGGAGAGATGTTAGCTCAATGTCACTGAGGATATTTTGGTTTAGCATAAATGGAACCAGACATTCAAAAGCGCATAAGGAATCAGGCTGCAGCAACTTGTCCCCACTGTCCCTTGCCTTCCTGGTCATTTCTGTTGTTTTCTCCTACTTACCAATACCCAAAGGCCACAATGAGGGGGCTGGAAGCCAAGGACACTGAGCTGAAAAACTTCACAACACCCCTGACATACAGAAAAGGATGTTGAAGCCATAACAGACCTTTCCTTTAGTCCTTCTTTCAAAAATTTAGCACTGACAGTCTGCTTCATTGTCATTCCTTTAGTCCTAGACGTTGAGATGAAATAATAAAGGATGTAAATTATGCGGCTAGTGCAGGTGGCTTTTCCTCTGGCTTCCTCTGGAAGCTCACAGGTAACATGAGCACACTCTGGTAATGTGAAGGAGGGCACGGGGAGAGAAGCCAGAAGCTCTGGGACAAAAGTGGGCCAGGCCCTGGGACCTGAGCAGAAGTAGAGTGATCAGGGAGTGAATTTTATAGCCCGTTTAGCTATTTCCTGCTTGCCATGAGATCCCCAGAAGAAATGTCCTGCCTGGTTTTTTCAAGTGGCAACAGCACTGTTTATCAGGATCCCCTCTGAGATAAATCCTCTGAGTGTCTATAGTTTGTGGACTCACAATCAGAGACCACAGAGCGGAGCTTCCAGAGCGCCATTATTTCATTCCCCAAATGGAAACAACCCATGGAGAAGTTCATTGATCTTTTAAAAAGAGAATACATAATTCCACAACAAAAGCATTGGCTGTATCAACCAGGATTTATTTTCCTCCCAGAGAAACTTTATCTTAATGAGTAATGCTCATTGCAAAATGCAGAATGAAATACAAACTCCTCCTCCTTCTTGTGTAAAGTAGGAGAGTTTCTTTGTCTAGATATACAGAAGTTTCAAGAGCTAGCAAAGAAAACATGCATTTTTAAAAAAAGCTACGAGGGAAAGTGACTCTGGACCACACACTTAAATATCTTTATTTTATTTTTTCCTTTTTTTAGTTTCTTTTCATTTTTTTTCTTATATTTTCTTAACACACTTAAATTTAGATTGCCATTCTGATAAGGCATGCCCACATCATAAAGGCTTTATGTGGGCATACGTTACCAATAGAAAAAAAAAAAAAAGTGCGGTTTTAAGAAATGAAGGAAGGACACTAATTCTGACTCTGGTAGTAGAAAACTGACTTACCCTAAATTGTTCTTGATTACTAATAACTTAATAATTAGAGGACACAAGATACTTGGTAGGCGGATGAACTGTCCATTCCTAGGCTCCCACAGTCCCTGGATCAAGCGTGATACTAAAACCTTCGGCCAATTTAGCATTTTGATCAAGACTGTGTCATTGGGGCACCTTCAAAAGAACCTTAGATAAAGAGCTGCTTCTTATGGGGTTAATGTTCAGTGTAGGATAGAGGTTAAAATACAAACTCCTGTTTCCTCTTGACCATGAAGTGAGTATATCCTCAGTATTTACATGTCTTTATAGAAGAAAATGAGACTCAGAGTAGGAACTGTATCTCTTTCTTCATCTATTTAACAATACTTTTCAATAAAGATCCTTGAGTGGGAAAATGCAACAGACCTTCCAAGAGACTGACTTAAGAGCTCGTATGCCCAAATCACAAGGCAAGCGAGTGCT